CGCAGGCCTCCCTCACTCCCCCCCCCCAGCAATCCGCCCCGCAGGTTCGTCTCCACCCTGTCCCCGCGCGGAAGGGCTAGGCAGGGCCTCTTGGTCCTGATGTTGGGGTACGGAAAGGAAGAATCCCCCCTCCCCCTTCAATCAACAACAACAACGACAATAATGATAATGACAATAGAGGGAAGCAGAACACCGGAGCTGGGGACACTGGGAAAAGGCCCAACTTCGTTGGTTTATGGTTGGGGGGGTCGGGTGCCCCCCCCCCGCCCTGGGACCCCAGCGGTTCTCCCCTCCACTCCCCCTGCCCGGCCGATCAGTTCCACTACTTTTTATGCTGAGGATATTGCTCTCCACCCGGGAGTCTCAGGGCGCCTTCCTGAACCTTCTGCCGCCGCTGCTGCTGCTGCTGGAGTTTTCTTTGCTCTCTCCTGCACCATGCATGGCTCCTGTTTCGTAAATGCAGGGCTCAGCCAGCGCTGGGCCCCGGGACGTGGGGCCGCCCTGCCCTGCTTTGGGGGACACGGGGCTGCCAGGTTCCCCCTTCCCTCATCTCCCGCTCAGCAGGCCGGAGAAGCCCCTGGCCACCCTTGGACCGCCTGGGCCCCTGGGCCGTGTCCTCCACCTGCGGTTCTTGCTCTTGCTTTAGTAAGTAGGCCCAGTGGTGCTCGGTTCTCTCACGGTCTGAATGAAGCTGACCGAAGGGTTTATTTCTTCCCAGCAAACACACGCCACCACACACAGCCTCCCGAAGCCCACGCTTGGTCCTTATGGCGGGGACAGGTCTAGGCTTCTTGTTCTTTTCTTCTTTCACCAGTTCCAGCTCACTTTCTCCTCCCTTTTATGAACGAGGTGGTGGCTAAGGTCGTTGATTTGCTGTCCGTAGCTGATGATTTAGAGGAGGAAGAGTGTGTGTGTGTGTGTGTGTGTGTGCATGTGTGCGCGTGTGTGCGCGCGTGCAGATTGGAAGGACGTGTAAGTTGAGTTCTGCACTGTACTTAGAGTATTCCCTGTCTTGAACAGTCTGAAGCTGGAATGTGAGAAACTGGCCAGTGAGAAGACGGAGATGCAGAGGCACTATGTCATGGTAAGAAAACTGTCAGAGATTCAAGGTGCCCATTAGCTGGGGATACCGGGGGAGAAAGCAAGCATGCTCAGATTGCTGGCGGCTGCAGGAAACAGCACAGGGGCCCCGGGCCAGTGCAGCTGAGGTGGTGGGAATGTGTTCATTAGCAACCTGTAATTCTAGGGTATGATAACTTGCCTTTGACAACCAGCTTTGATTTGAATTTTCAAAAAGTTCAGCTACCTAGGGTATAATTTTCTAGGCTTTGTTTTTACAGATTGGAAGGAAAAAAAATGGAAACAATATCTCATTTATGTTTTGTTTAGTCACAAGCAAAATGTTATTGTTAGTGGTTTTCTTTGTTGTTTTATTGCTCTTGCTGCAATTTTAAGCAGGCAGTTTTTCTATATACTCAGTAAGATTTTTAACGAGTCTTATTTCTTTTAAAGAAGGGCGGGTCAGGAAAGACAAGACTCCTTTTCAATATTTTCCCCATTCTTTATGTTACTACTATGCTTTATGTTTTTATGTGTGCTTTCAATTTCCATAGTGTTAGATTGGTTTTTGCAGAGTGTTGATTTGTTCTGCCAGGATTTTTGTAATGCCAGTTACATGTTCAAAAAAAAATCAGATCTGCATTTGCAGAAGTATTATGAAGCATATTTTTATGACGTGGAGCATATTTTATGCTCAAACAACACGTCAGACTAACTCATTAATCCATTTCCTATTAAACTCTTTTGCTTTAATGTGTGGATATGAGTAGCACACTAAAAAAAGAGAAACTGAACTCGGAAGTGAAATCACCTTCCCTAATCATTCTTTCAAAGAATCAGGGTTTGTATAAGACCTAGTTCCATTGTGCCTAGAGCTTCAGAGTCATATGGCACTGAATTTTCATTAGACTTACTTGATTCATCTGCTTTGATGACATTTGGAAATGTTAGGAAAACTGTGTTTGAACATAATTTTTCTTAGTTTTGTGAGTTTTCTCTCAGAATCTGTCTTAAGGTGGCTTCTGGCTTACTAAAGACAGTAATTGGATATCCTTTCTGATTTATTGGTGTGGCTCCTATGAGTATTTTTTGGAGGTGAGGCTTTTATGTTTCTTGTTTTCTTTTAAGCACACTTGAAATATTCTGAACAAAGTAGAGGAGATTATTTGAAAGGCATGAATTTAATTGTTTCTTTTTTTTTATTAACAGTATTATGAAATGTCCTATGGGTTGAATATAGAAATGCACAAGCAGGTAAGTTTTTATTTTTTGATAGTCATTTTAAATAGCAATATTAATGAAAACAATTATGTATTTCCACTTTTCTTCTGAAAATGATTGTGGCTTTCTGTGTTTTCAAAGACTAGGAATTGGAGATAAAGCCATTTTTTTCATGTGTGGTTCCTGATCTTCTGATAAAAATTATCCCCATTTTAATCTTTTGAAGTGTTATTTTAAAAATGTGAATGCATCTTTAACTTGGCATACTTTAAAAAACTATATGCTAAATTTTAAAATACAGTTTTTCTTTTGAAGCATTGCTTTATGTACTTTGGGCATTGCAAACATGTCTTATGAAAGAGCGCTTCTTGGAAAATATTAATAAGTAAAACTGTAAATTGCATGGAGCCTTCTTTGGCTTGGTGTGAAAGAATGGATAGAAGGTGAGCTGGGAGGACCAGAATGAAATCTGTGGAGCTACAGAAGAAATCGATGTCAAATCCTTGTACTGGTCCCTCAAGGCTACTTAGTTGGGTCTTACCAGGAGTTATAACCATTACTCCAGACTTTTACAGAATAAGTGAGCCTGGTCAAAAGAAGGTTCAGCACTGGGTCTTAAAATCTACCAATTAGTTTAGCAAAAAAAGAAAAAGAAAGATAGTGATTATTTGGAAAACATTGTGAGAACTGACTCAAACATCTTTTTTTTTTTCCAAGAGATGAGATGAAATCATTTGGCTTAATTTTCATAGACAGGAAAAAATAGCACATATATTTGTGTATATGTACATATATATGTGTGTGTGTGTGTGTTTAAATTATTGCTTGGCAATATTACTGTAGGAAGTGGTATGCTTTAAGTGATCCACCAGTGAAAGTGTTTCAGGCTTAGCAACCATTAGAACAGGTGAATATGTTTGTTGGCTGCTGAGAAAAAGACAAGGGCAAACGTAATGCTGTTCATGTCTTATTATTTATGTGATGTAACTTATGAGCAATGTCATTATCTTCTAAGTTTAGAATGTATGAAATGACCACATATTATTAGGCTTTTACTATTCATGGGTTCCTTTTTGAACGTAGTTATTCACCACATACTCAGAATACACCTATGTAAGTAGATTGCTAGAAGACGGCTGTTACACAATAAAGGGACTCACACAGTAGTTGAAAACAAAGCTGAGAAAAAAAAATGTGACATTACTTACACTGAGGACTTTTTATTTCAGATACTACCTTACCTTCTACGTTATTTAGATTTGCCAATATTAGCCTGATACATGTGTGTGTGTGTGTGTATGTGTGTGCATTTAGGCATATATATATTACTAAATCATATTATTTACTAATACCTGTCTATATCCCTATTCATTAGAGTTTGGAATGCCACCTGTTAAATTCTTGTTTTGGTATCTTTGTCAGTTCTGTTTAGAATAGTAGTGTATCTTCCCTGCTTTAGGAAAATCTATTCAACTTTATGGATGGACTTTAAAAATTACTCGAGAGTTGTTGCTTGTTAATAACCCTTGTTACATACCACTTTAGGTTGGATTTTGTACATTCTTTTGTTCCCTAACCCATGATTAGTGCCTAGTACCTTTTTAAAGACTGATTGGACTTGATGGGTAAAAATGCCTGTTTATTCTTTTTCTGCATTTTATTTGCCCCTAACCATTTAGTTTCCAAAGTGAAATCACTTTGGAAAAACACATAGCTTATTGCATATGGCTGTATGTTTTCCCTTTTATTTTGGTGTTAGGTAGTATGTGGGATCCCTTAATTTTACACAGTTTAAACCTCTATAATTCTGTCATCCTCTTGTCCAGTTGGCCTTGAACGCCATTTATTTAAAATTGAGAAGAGTACATTTTTCCTTTTTTCCCCCCTCTTGCTTTTAAATTCAATCATATCAGAAATCCCGAGGGCAGTTTATCACATTATGAAATACAGACAGCCCTGCAAACCACCTACTTATTATATTTTCTTTTTTTTCCTCTCTCTCCCTTAAGCACAGAGGCATATCTGTCTTTATTTGTTTTCCTAGGCAGACAGCCTTAGTTCCTCTTAGCCTCTCTTCCAGATGCACTCGCTGGGTTCCCTTGTAATGGAAAGCAGCAATAATGCAGGGAAGTTGCCCTACGGCATAATTGGGCCTAGTTCTTGAGATCGGGTTAGGCTTATTCACTTATTAGATTTGTGTCTCTAAGGGTTCAAGAGTAGGAGTCCCAGGAGTCCTTGGAAGTACCCTAGTAATTGGTGGCCCTGATATTTGAAACCTTTGTGTATTTTTTTGGTTATCGTTTCTTTTCTTCTTGGCTGCAGTCAGCCACAGAGTATTTATTTTTAGAGAAATTTTTCATTGGAACAGAAAATGATGGTTGTGATGGAGTCATGGATTCTGGCTTAGCAAACTGAGGGGAGGATGGAGTAAGCAGCAGTGACAAACCTTCTCCCTCCTCCCCTTTTGTGTGATGCTCATCAACAGTCACCCTGTGTTGATTCTGATAGAGAACTATAAAGTGAAACCTATGGGGAATTTGTCATTCTGAAATGAAAGCTAATGTAATTAGTACCAATTAAAGTACATTTAGTAAATTGGATTTAATCTTAATTAAGCCTGCATAATGTTGCCAATTTTTAACAATTATGTTTGAGAACATAATTAATTTAAATTTTGGTAACTGAGTAAATAGCATTAGTCTGATAGAATCAGTGTTTTTTTTTTTTTAAAGGGGAACTCAGTGACATGACATAGAATTGGAACATAAAAGATGACTAAATACTGGTAATCTTTAGAAGGATTGATAGTGCTGAGCAGATGAGTCTGGGGGGCGGGGGAACCTAGGGAACATGAGAGTGAAGTTTTCCAGGCTATGCTAGGAATTAATGCTTGCCCCGTCCTCAGTTCGAGTGTGAAAATGAAGATGACAAATAAGACATAGTTAGAAATGACGTGTTTCATGGTGACATCTTAAAAAATGGAGTTTTTCCAGTGAAAGAGCATTGGTTTTTTATTTCTGAAGGACCTCCCTAGGTGTGGGGTTTTGTTTTTTGCCTCAGATAAGGTGATGGGTTCCAGATTTAATTGTTACTACCTTTACTGAGTATTCTTTCTAAAGTGTGGCTGCCGGGTGGGCTAGCAACCTAGGCAGATGGTGGTGATGTGAGCAGAGTAGTTGATACCATTGCTAAATGCTGCTTGTTGAAATCCTTCACCTGAGATACTGTAATTAAGGAAATCGTCCTTCCTGGTAGAATCCGGCAGTAGTGGTTACCACTCTTAAAAAGTGGTATGGATTGAGAACCATGGGTAGGTGAAGCCAGCCTACAGAAACGAAATGAGTGAGCGTATTACATTCTGATGGGGGAGCAGGACAGGAACTCTTGACTTCCTCATAGCTAGTATTGCATAATCGGAAAATGTCTCTGCTGCTAAGATAATTTTTGCTTAGTATTTCCATTTTAAAAATCATTAGAAGATTCTGAAGTCCCTAACATTGAGAAACTAAAAGTGAGTATTCCGTATTTATTCACAAATATATTTGTATTATGTGCATATTCGTGTGTGATGGATATTTATACATGTGTTTTCTTTTTAAATCAAAGTGACAAAAACTTCTGTTTCCCTCAAAGCCATGGTAATGGTATGACAAAACTGGGCCCCCACCATTTGAGTGCTGCTAAAATATTAATTGAATAGAAACGAGAGGGCCTTGCCAGCTGATAGGATATCATAATCATAGCCTCTTTGGTCGATGGTAAATGATGATAAATGACATTAGGAACCTTTTAGCAAACTGTAATAACTACAAGGAGGGAAGCAGTATGGATTTGCATTATATCTGATACCCTCTAGTACCAAGTGGATTGCCAATACTGCTTGTTTAGCATTTTCTAAGGGCAATAGGATATTGATTTCTGACTTACAAGGAACAGCTCTATTTTCGCCATTGAAAAGTATTGCAGGTTGTTAAGAAGAAATTGACTTGAAGAGGCCGACTGCTGCCCATCATGGAGCAAATAAAGCAAAGCTGCCGAAGCATGGTGGAGCAGCGAGACAGGCCCTCAGCAATTTGTTGCTATTAATTTACCATGCTCGACAGCAAATCAATCGGCATCTACTTCATCTGCTGGAGAAAATGCTGTCCAGGGCAGATAAAAGGCTCGGCATAGCACAGAGAATAGACCGGATTGGCCAAAAGGAGGCTGCAGCTAATGTGTAAATAAGTGAAATCAAGGCCACCGTGGCAGAGGAAGCTGTTGTTAATTAGGTTGGTGCTTTTTTAGTCAACTATTTGAGAAAATAGCCTAGGATTTGGAGAATAAAAAGAGATTTATTGAGTTTGAAGTAATATATGACTGGCATGGCTTTCCAGCCTGGAGTATTCTTGACTCTGGGACACAGTAGATTTATTTGGGGACAATGTCTGCAGTGTAAGTTAATTTGTTTGAGGTTCTCATTAAACAAGATTTCCCTAAGATAACTTGTTTGGTGGGGGGGGTGGGGGAGTGTTTCATTAGCACTTTCTTCACATCTCGTATTACTGTATACACTTAGGTTTAGAAGAGTGCACGGAGGGAAGTATATGAGCAAAAATGTATTTTTGTGTGGAGACTGCTTTTTTTTTTGAGAAATGGATGAGTGGATTGAATTCATGCTAATAACAAAAGGAAACGGTTGTCAAAGGTGGAGTGTCATGAATATTTTGCTGTTAGAACTTTCTTTTGCTTTATAAATAGACTTCAGGGAATTTCCTGGAGGAGCTGAACATGGAGTGAATACTACTAGATTAGACAGTTCAATATGCAGCAACTTGTTGATGGTTACCCGTTAAGTTCTAGGTACACTTACTGTGTGTGTGTATGTGTGTGTGTGTGTGTGGTGGTTGGTTCTTGTGTGTTTGTTCTTTAGGTGTAAACCCGTGTTTTCTAATTTAAGATGACCTATTAGTATTCCAC